TTTTTGGTTTTTCTCCGGTACCGGGAACCGAACTCATGACCTTGCGCTTGCCAGGCAGGCGCTTTGCCGCTGAGCTAAATCCCCAGCCCCTCCCCAGTTTTGTTGAACTCTGCTGTGCCCACGTCTTGCTCCAGCCAATAAAAGGGAAACATGAAGGGCCAGTGTGGCTTCTCCACATTCTGTCAGCCGGGTCCTGGAAGCAGTAGGCTAAGGAGCACAGAGTCTGCTGACCACTGACGTGGTGAGCATGCAGCACGAGCCAGAGTGGGCCCTATTTCTGGCCTCTTGTCTGTTGGTGCAGCATAATCTGGCCAAGGAGGGGTGTCTCTCCCTTTCCTCTTTCCTGTGTACAAAGCCCAGGTTTCCTCATCTACAAAACGCTGGGGGCTGATCAGACCCCTGGATACCTGAGAGGGATGACGGGGAATAAAGACAAGAGTTTTGGTGTAAGGAGGGGCTGGGAGGAGTTCATCTGCAGCGAACTGACTCTCTGAGCCCTTGGTGTTGCCCATTTTTATTAGTCAGCGAGAAGCCCAGGTGGGTAATGCGCTTTTCCTGAGCATTTCAAAGAGAACAAGATAAAGTTCTTCCCCGGATGCCTGCAGTTTGTACACAGTCTTCTTGTCTCAAGAGGCTGTGAATATAAGCTCTCCCAGCACAACCAGAGAGCAGCTATTTGCAAACTCTCATGCTTTGAAGCAAGCCACACCAGCCGTGCACCAGAGGATCACAGTCACACAGTCTGATCCCTGCTATAGTAAAGTATTATTTCATATCCCCTGGTCCCTAACAACAAAATACAATCTTTCTTGGGATTATTAATATTAAAAAGTGATTGTTGTGGTTAGGGTCTGTGAAAGAGGAATGGTGGCTGTTTGTCAACATGAGTGGTCCTGCCTGTCCCTAACATCCCCGGAGGTTTGAATGAGTGGAGCCTAGATAGCATGTAGGGGACACAAACCAGTCAGTGAGCATGTGGTCCCCTCTTGCCCATGCCTGCCTGGCATCTGTACAGCGTCTTCTCCTCCAAGGACTTGCCAGTTCTGAGTGCCATAGGCGGCCTGGACTCTTGGAGTTGAGCAGACCCCACCAAAACGAAGGTCAAGTACCAGTCCACACCATCACCCTCAGCAACTCATGGGATCTGAGGAGCAGCTTCAGGAACCCAGATGCTCCAGGGAACCAGAGCCTCCTCTCTCATCTCTGCAAGCCTCACCAGCCGTGGTCTCCAGCTGCCCAAGGCCATGTCATTACCATAGGCTACAAAGAGTGGAGTCTGGCTGCTGTTTCCAGGCGGCAAGAGGACAATGTAGGCCCCTAGATGCATTCCTTTACCCGCTGGGAGGGAGAATCCGATGCAGACCCTATGAGTGAGTCTGTATTGGTGCCATCCTCACAAATGAACATCAGGTGGCACCAGCCGCACATATGCAGAACAGGAACCTGGCAAAAGGGGGACCTTTTGAAGAAAGTCCTCCATGTCAGTGCACTCTCCTGTGCCCATGTGGACTTTATGTACTCCAAGTGCACCTGAGGCTTAGAAATCACATATACACACACACACACACACACACACACACACATGCATGCAGAGTGTCTGCAATACTGGGAATTGCATCCAAGGCCTCCACACTGAGCTATGTTCCCAGCACATATGTTTTATTTTGAGAGAGGGTCTCCTTAGGTTATTAAGTTGTCCAGGCTGGGCTCAAACTTGGGATCTTTCTGCCTCTCCCACCCAGAGTGCTGGGGTTATATAGTCCTCCACTGCTAGACCCAACTCCACATTTTATAAATGTCTTCTAAAGCGGATATGGTGGTGGGGCTGGGGATTTAGCTCAGTGGCAAAGCACCTGCCTGGCAAGCGCAAGGTCATGAGTTCGGTTCCCGGTACCAGAGAAAAACCAAAAAATAAAATAAAATAAAATAGGTGTGGTGGTACATGCCTATAATCCCAGTACTGGGGAGGCTGAAGCAGGAGGAGTGCTGTGAGTTCAAGGCCAGCTTTGAACTACCTAGTGAGTGAATTCAAAGCCAGGCTGAACTACAGAGCAAGACCTTGTCTCAAAAATAAATAATAGAAGTCTTATTTTACCTATCTTTGTCAGAATATCTTTTTATTTTTGATAAAACTTTTGACAGAACCCATTTTTCCTATTGTATCAGCAGTGTATATTGTAGAGAAATTGAAAAAGGGTGAACAGTAGAAAGAGGAAATCATCAGCTGACACCACATGGAAGGTATGCATGCTTTTATTTATTTATTTTTAACATCTGTACAAATTCTTTTTTCCTAACCTTGTCAGAGTGGTTTGCATGCCAGGTTTCCCTTGGAACCTAACACCTCAGTGTGTACCTTAGATATAGCCTCTCACAAAACCACAGTACAGGACACTTACCAAGGTGAGGTAACAGAGAAGTGACACACGATTGTCCTCCTTGACACAGTCCCCCCCAGCCCAGGATCCTATCTTGCCTTCTGTCACCGCGTCCTTCCGTTTAGTCATGTGGATGGGCTCTGAAGCCCTTCTTTTCTCCCTAGATAGGGTCTATGGCTTGCAGCCATATAGTGGCGCAAACAGTCACAATGCCACGGGCCAGGGAAGAGCCATCTGTACCCCACATGTGGTATGCCACGACACACGGCACTGGCAGTATTCCAACTGCAGCTGTGTCGCTCCAGTCCAATAACAAGTGGCCACGTTTGTGGAGGCAGCAGGCGGCAGGGCAGACACCAGAGCAAGCGACCTTCTCTGGGAGAGTCGCAGAGGGCCTTCGCCAGGGCTGTCTCAGCTACTCCGGATCCAGTGTCTCGGGAGCCACCAGAATCGGGTTCCGGAGCGCTCTGGTGGAGGGTAACAGGGCGCCAGGACGCAGTGCCATCGGCACATCCGCGCCCGTTCTGTCACCACCCGGGAGAGGAGGAGGCTAGTCCCAGAGGCTCGAGGGACCTGCGGGAGGCGCCGCCCAGCAAGCAGGCGCGGTGCTCGGGGTAAGGGGCACCCACCACCACCAGCAGCAGCAGCAGCAGCAGCTCGCGCGCGCTCATTCATTCATTCATTCATTCCTGCGTGCATTCAGTAGCTGATTCGGCCGCCACATCAGGAGCCGCCCAGCCACGCCGCTCTCCTAGCCCGACCAAGGGCCCGAGCCCTAGAAGGCTGGGCGACCCCAGAGCGCGGGTATCGGGCACAGAGCTGCAGTCCTCCTACTGCCCAGAGCGCTCAAGAAGTGCCATGGGGCGGGGTCGGGAGCGGCGTCGCTTCCGGGCCTGGCGGAGACAAGCGGCACCGCCCTCCTGGACCTTGGGCCGCCCAGGTAAGCCCTGCGGGCGGAGCGGGGATTTTCGGCTCCTGAGCCCTGTGGGCCAAGCCGTCCCAGCCTTGCTCCCGAGGCCGGCCGCGGGGCGGAGCCCGAGGATGCGCCTCTTGCCGAGGCTTGCTTTGTGGTCCGCGTTCTTGGCGTTTGCCACACTTCTCGCCACCCTGCGCAGGGCTTTGTCGGGTGGGTCAGGATTCTTATGTGTTGCCAGTGCTTCCCCTTTTTGTCTGTGCCCGTTACCCTTTCTCACGTAGTTAGGTTCGTCAGACTTAACCTTGGCTGCCAAGATCAGAAAAATAATTCCGCTGTCTGAACGTGCCCTGTGCTGATACCCTGTTCTATTTGATTCCTGATTTTATATTCAATCCTTTATAAGTATCAAGAAAAATGTATGGAAATTTCTGTAGACGACTGGGGATTGAAAGTCTGTGAAGAATCACGACCTTGCCGTCAGCTCTGCATCTGCATGCAGGGTGCAGGCAGCAGCCAGAACCTGCTGCAGGGCCTCGAACATCACTCCTTGGGGTGACCTTGGTCAGGACCTCAGGAGCGCTGAGCAGGACACAAGCCGAGCTAGGTGAGGCTGCTCCCTCAGGGTCCCCAGCCTTTTGCTGCTGAAGCATCCTGACTGGCCACCAGCCTGTGCCTGCCCTCACTGTCATTTTCTTCCTTTTTTCTCTTCTGCCCAGTGTTCTGCAAGGTGCAGCAGGCAGAGAACTGCCAGGCCTGATCTCCAGATGCCAAGGAGAGAGAGACCCTGATGGAGTCCCCTACAGGTGGGGGCACGAGGGACACACGCAGTCAGCCTGAGGAGTTGGGAAAGGACCCTCCTGGAGGGAGGGAAGGGGACAGTTTAGGAACTTGGCCCCCAGCCATCTGCCCATCTGGTGAGTGTCACCCGACTCAGGCCTGCGCCCCCAAGCCTCCTCCCAGTCTCAGCCCTGCCCCACATGCCCTCACCACTTCCTGCTGCCTCTGCCGGCCTCCCCCCCATACACACGCACATCAGTGCCTCATTCTCTCTCTAGCTCCCTGCCCTCAGGCAGTGACCAGGGGAGTTTGATGAATAGAACTGCTGGAAGCCTCTTACCCATTGGCCATCTGCCCTCTTGCTAAGTTCCAGAGACACAAGGCCGTGTGTGAGGGCTGTCAAGCTGAGGACTCACTTCAGTTTGTTGTTGCTCTTACTTCATTACATGACTAGTCCTCACAATGCCATCTTCTGTCAAAGCTACTGCACATTCGTGCTTTGCTGATTCTTCTGAGCACCGGGAGCCTGAGTCCTTAAGAGCTGTGGCCACTCAGAACACCCACGGAGCCAACACACCGCACCTGTACCTCCAATGCACTTACTCCTCCATGCCTCCTGGGGGCGCCAAACCTGGGGTGTTCATGCTCTCCTTCCCTTGTCAGATCTTCAGTGCGACCAGATCTGTCTTCATGGGTTCTACACAGCCCTGCAGCTCTGGGCTAAGTGATTATTTTAGCTAGTGCCACCATGCAGAGAACAGTGGAGGAAAAGCAAGCACATCACAGCAGAGCCACCCCAAGGGGAGGGAGCCTCACAACAGGGCCACCCAAAAGGAGCCTGGGAAGCAGCTGGAGTCCTCAGAGGCAGAGGGAGGGAGGGATGTGAACCCCAGGCCTAGCAGATCTCCTGGCCTCCCTCCATTTGGCGACAGTGTTCTTCGAGTGGATGGATTTCTTAGTTAGAAGGTGTGGCAGCCACAGGGTCTGCCCAGGAAGATGACAGGCTTGCTTGCTTTTCTTTTTCTTTCTTTCTTTCTTTCTTTCTTTCTTTCTTTCTTTCTTTCTTTCTTTCCTTTCTTTATTTCTTTTTTTCTTTTCTTTCCTTCCTTCCTTCCTTCCTTCTTGTCTTTTTTGAGACAAGGTCTACCTATGCAGTTCAGGCTGGCCTTGAGCTCACTTTGTACCCCAGGCTGGTCTCAAACTCACAACAATCCTCCTGCGTCAGCCTCCCGAGTGCTGGGATTACAGGCCTGTGCCACCATGCTCAGCCTGATCTCAGGGTTTCTTAACCTCTGCATTGGGAACACTTGAACAGAAGAGTCTTTGTTGAGAGGCCGTCCAGTGCGCTATGCAAGGTTCAACAGCATCCCTGGCCACTACTCACCAGATGGCAGCACACATTCCCCACTTGTGACAGTCAAGACTATCTCCAGCCATGTCAGATGTGCCCTGGCTTTATGTTTAGGGGCCCTTAGGGCTACCTTGAGGGGTCACTGGGAAGGACCCCCTGTGCAGGGAAGCCCAGTACAGGGGCCACTACTGCTGACTGGACACATATCCCTCCTTGGGGCAGCTCCTTAGGACCTGAAGGCCCAATCCAGTACAGTGTTCCGCTCTCGGTCCACCTGCTTGGTGGTTGCCTTTCCTTGGCAGACTCTGTCCCTCCCCTGTGCCACCTCCTACTAGAGCTTCCTTTTCTCTTAGGAAGGCCATAGTTAATAACCAGCACTCTGCTATCCCAGCATTTTGCTATGATGTCATGAAAACCTCTGCTAAATGACTACATGGTCTGACCGTGAGCTGGGGTAGACAAGGATTGTCCGCACTCAGCCTGGGATGCTGAGGCCCACAGTCCCAGGTGACTGCTGCTCACTCCCTGGGAACTTTCACCTGAGTGAGGACTCCTCCTACACAGAACAGAAGCCCTTGAAATTCATGGGGTAAGAGTTGTCCCAGGGAATTCAAGGTCAGAGAAATCAGGTAGAAGTGGGACACGTGTCCTACCTCTTCCAGTACATCTTTCCCCATCCCTTCTGTTCTGCTGCCAATAAGCTTCCTGCACTTTCCAGGTCGCTAGGGGAGATAAGAACATGCCCTAAGTCTGTCTGTTCCTCCACTCCTGAGCCAGGCAGGCCAAGGCTGGGAGCTCTACTTCCTCTGGGGTCACAATGTAGGACTCCCATGAGCCCACTCTGGTCCCTTGTCCATGCCTGTGAACACGGGTTTTAGGAAGTGGGGTGGGAAGCAGAACTGGAACCAGACAAGCAAAATAATAGGCATCGGCTGGGAGTGACTTTATTCTTACCCCTGTCATGACCGTAGCTTGGCAGATTCACTTGTAACATTGCATTGTGTGATGGTTTTCTGGTGTCTACAACTGAGCGTGTCTGATGTCTCCTTCCAGAAGATACACAGAGTGGCCAGGCTGCTGGGTGTACCACCCCAGCTGCTGGGCAGGCAGAGCACAGCACCCAGCAGAAAACTCCAGCAGGAGGATACAGTGGCCAGGCTGTGCCAGAACCACTACAGGGGTCTCCCGAGGCCCTGCGGGAAGCTATAGAGAGGCCCAGAGAGGAGCCCCAAGGAAGGGGCATTTTCGAGGTACCTGAAGGGCAGAATGGAGGTGGGCGCAGTGCACCCAGGACAGAAGTAGCTGGGAAGGTGGGCCCAGCCCGAGGACAACCTTACCTGTGTACCACCTGTGGCCAGAGCTTCAAGTGCTCCTCGGATGCAGTGAAGCAGCCGAGCACGCACTCAGGGCGGAGGCCGTTCGAGTGCGGTGACTGCGGGAAAGGCTTCGTCCACAGCACACACGTGCTCCAGCACCAGAGAAGCCACAGCAGGGAGCGGCCCTACGTGTGCCAGGAGTGCGGCAAGGCCTTCGGCCAGAGCTTCAACCTAATCCGGCACCAGCGAGTGCACACGGGAGAGAGGCCCTACGAATGCACTGAGTGCGGCAAGGCCTTTGGTCAGCGCTCTGATGCTGTCAAGCACCGCCGCATCCACACGGGCGAGCGACTGTACGCGTGCAGCGACTGCGGCAGGACCTTCGTCCACAGCTCCAACGTCGTCCGGCACCGCAGAACGCACCACGCAGAGAACCCGTTCGAATGCCGGGAGTGCGGCCAGGCCTTCAGTCAGAGCTCCAACCTCCTGCAGCACCAGCGCGTGCACACGGGGGAGCGGCCCTTCGCCTGCCGGGACTGCGGCCGCGCCTTCAGCCGCAGCTCTTTCCTCCGCGAGCACCGACGCATCCACACAGGCGAGAAGCCCTACGAATGCAGCCAGTGCGGACGCTGCTTCCGCGCACTGTCCGGATTCTTCCGGCACCGCCGCGTTCACACGGGCGAGAAGCCCTTCCTGTGTGCGGAGTGCGGCCACGCGTTCCGCCTCAGCTCGCACCTCCTGCAGCACCGCCGGGTGCACGGCTCCGAGTGAGTCCGGGGGAGAGGCGTTTGGAGGCCCGTGTCCTCATACAGACAGCAAGGAAAACAATAACGCCCCCCGCTGCTTGGAAATCCTGAGTGTGGTCCACGCCTCGTTCGGAAGCCATGTGAGGAGGGTCACAGGTGGGAGGCGGTAGGATTTACTTGAGACCAGCAATATGAGACCAGGTTACTCCAGCAGCAAAGCGGGATTCTGACCAACCCACAAAAGAAAAAAAAAAAAAAAAAATGCACAGAGGTTAGAAAGGAACTAGCCTGTTAAATATTCTTTTTCCTGAGGAAGGATCTGCCTATGTTGCCCAGGGCTGGACAACACAGCATGTTCGTGTGAGTCCCAGGCACCATCCCCAGTACCAAAAACTAAAGCTCTGGAGAGTCTGAGTGGGACAGGGACTAAGAAGTGATCGCTGGGTGGAGCCAAGAGGCACCATTTGCTTCCACAGGTCCAACGTCCTCCGGCACCGCAGCACACACCAGGCAGAGAACCCATTCGAATGCCGGGAGTGCGGCCAGGCCTTCAGTCTGAGCCCAGCCTCAGCCTCCAAGGCTCCCAGTCTGCTCTTCCCTCACACAGGACCCATGGGTCTGAAGGCTGGGCTGGGACACCACAGGCATGAGGCAGACAGCAAGCCGGGCCACTTCCCAGCACGGGGCTTCCGTCCGGGCCTTTGATCTAGATCACAACACCATACGCTTTGCAGAATATTTTATTTACAAAACTCAGTAGTGCTCTACCAGGGAGTCAGCCACGTGTGCAGTCAGAGTCATTCAGAATTCGAAGTCTTCACCCACCATGTCAAGGGCCCAGGCGAACTTCGCTCTCTGCGTCTTGTTGTAAATTTTTTCCACAGGAACCCCAAACCGTTTACACCTGCGGGGACAGGGTCAGCCTGGGGGGGGCGCTGGTATCAGCCCCACATCCCATCCAACTCTAAAGCAAGGTAGCAGGGAAATCAGAGACCCCGTGTGGAGCCTGCCCCTGCTGCTGCTGGACACCCGGCTGAGCAATGTCCCTCCCAGTGTCAGGGAGGCGTGAGATCTCATACCTGCCGCAGCCGAGAGCCACTCTGTGAGGTGCTCTGGAGCCCCTCTGGCCCGGTCACCTCCCACTCCCAGTGAGCAGACTGAGCACTCACATGGCCTCCATGTTCCAGGCCACTGCTGGTCCGCACCTCCAACCCATCCCAAAGCTCAGGGGAGGGGGAGCCTAGGGCACTGAACTCGACATCAGGGACACCTGGTCAGGTAGGTCCCTGTCACAGAAAGGACTTGTGCCTATCACGGAGAACCAAGGACAGGTTGACATACCAGGCAATGCTGATCCTGGGGTCCAGGTAGTTGAGCTTGGATGTGCCCAAGGCCACCTGTTTGTTCTCCTCCTTATCTGTGGCCTGGGTACTCAAGTGGGCCATCTGTTCCTCCAGCTTCTGCAACAGCCTCTGCTTCCTTTCCAGGATACTGGAGGAAGAGAAGGGGGCCTAGGTCCTACAGTGGTGTGGAGACCATGCTCCTAGCCACCACTGCCTTCTCTGCCCCATGTCCTCTCTCCGTGCTCTAGCCATGACCCTCCCTGGTCATCATCAACCTCCCCAAGCATCACGCAAGGTAAGGTGTCCTGTCAGGAGCAAAGACTAAAAGCCAACTTGAGTTCGCCCAGGCACCAGCAGCCAAAAGGATCCAGACCCAGAAGAGATACTACTGAGCCACAGCAGGGAGGACAGACAGCAAAGCTGGGCTCTTGAGAGGGTAGCCGCGAGGGAGATGCCTAATGCAGGAGACGAAGGCCAACAGTCCAACAATCAAATGGCAAAAGCAATGGAAGCAATCTCGTGGTGTCTAAGAAGATACTCAAGCCTTACTTCTACGCCCACCACACACACACACACACAAACACACACACACACACACACACCAAGGATTGAATCTAGGGCCTTTGCGCTAAGCTACATCTCCAGCCTTTTTTTTTTTTTTTAAGACAAGTTCTCACTAAGTTGCCAAGTTGCCAGGCTGGGTTCAAACTTGGGATTCTCTTGCCTCAGCCTCCCAGAGTGCTAGGATGACAGGCGTGTGCCACCACATTTGGAGGAAAATGAATGAAACTTGAGACCATCATGCTAAGGGAAATAAGTCAGACATAGAAAGTTAAATACCACATAATTTCTCTTATATGAGAAGCCTAAAATATAAATAAAGGAATGAATAAAATAAAGGTGAGAGAGTAGGAAACAAGAAGGCATACTTGTGGAGATGGGGGCAGGAAGAAGTAACAGAGAGACGGGTGAAGGGATAGAAAATGACCAAGATATGTATTACACATGTACCAATTTCTAACATCACTATATACTTCAGATATACACCAATAAAAGATAAAAAAATAGAAAAATTTAAAGCCAGGCTTGGTGATGCACACCTGTAATCTCACCATTCAGGAGGCTGAGGCAGGAGGATCACCTTGAGTTCAAGGCCAGTCTGGGCTAAATAGTGAGTTCAAGGCCAGTTTGAACTACATAGCAAGACCCTGTCTCAAAGAGAGAGACAGAGAGAGAGAGAGAGAGAGAGAGAGAGAGAGAGAGAGAGAGAGAGAGAGAGAGAAACAGGAACCCCTCACCTTCCCTGACAGCCATAACTCTAGTACATGCTCCTGGAGCTCAGTCTTTTAGGAGTCTGCCTGCACACCTTTGACCATGTGTATAAAGACATGCACATGGGAATACTGCTGCCAAAGGCTGTGCCAGCCCAGTGTGCCTACTGCAGAGGCCTTATGTGGGGTCATCTGCTCGGTGCTGACTAAAAGTGGCTGCCAGACAGCATAAGCAAGAACACCACAGAAGGCAGGAGCAGTGGCAGCCACACTCCTCATCCAATGCCCTTTGGGCTATCTGACATCTACCACTTTTAAAGACACACCTCTGCACCTCGGGACACTAGCCACAAACAGCACAACCACTGCAATCAGCAAAGGGTAACAGGGACCGCCACAGGCAACCAGACACCAACAAATCTTCTAGCTGACAAACTTCCAGAAAGACACGGATCACCAGGACTAACTCGAGAGAAACAGAACAGCTCACAGACCTGTGACAGGTGAAGAGACTGACTCAGTAATTGTAAGACTTCTCCCAGAAAGGACTGCAAGTTTGAGGCTCACTGGGCAATTTAGCAAGACCCTATCTCAAAATAAAAATTAAAAAGGGGCTGGGATATAGCTCAGTGGTGGACCAACCCCTGGGTTCGGTTTCCAGTACCACACACACACAAAACAAAAGCAAGGCGACACATCCCTGAAGTATTGGCAAGGAGTTGGATACATCAGAACCTCACACAGCACTGATGCAAACATGAGCTGGTGCATCTCTATGAAAACTGGAATATCTTCTTCAACTTATGACCATAGAGTTACCAGATGTTCTGGCTTGTATCTAGATGTCCCCTCCCAAGCCTCACGCAGCCATAGGTGGGGCTTTTCAGAGATGGCTGGATCTGGGGTGTATGAATGTGGATTAAGGGTGTGATAGTTAAATCAGTCTGCTAATTTGTTAAGTATAGTTCTGGGTGTGGATATGGGAACCCCTACCATGGGTGTGGGTGGCACCAACAAATAGGCTTATAGCCTAGATGGAATATAAGGGGAAAAGAAGGAAGGCAGGCTGCTGCTTCCTGCCTGCTCTGCTATGGACTGTTTCTCCTATGCGATGCCCCTCTGCCATGCCACTCTATGAACTGAAACTTCTACAAAATGTGAGCTAAAAATAAACCTTTCCTCCTTTAACTTGTGGGTGTCAGGTATTTTGTGTTGGCAACAAAAATGAAACTAAGATAACCAGATGACCCAGCAGCTCTACGCCTAAGGATTTACCAAAGGTGAACAAAAACACCAAATGAGGCCTAAGCACAAGTGAACGTCACTCACTGCAGCCAGGTGTCTAGTGGCAGAAAGTGGATACACAGTGAGGTCTTCCACCCACAGAACACTATTTGGCCATAAAGAAGGGAGTTCTGAGAGACCCTACAATCCAGTGAACCTGGAAGACAACGTGCTCAGTGAGAGGAGCAGACACCTCTGCAAACATCCAGAGTGGACCAACCTGACATGGGAAGCAGGTCAGGAATGAGTGAGGGGTGCTGATGGACATGGGGTTTTTTTTTTGTTTTTTGGTTTTGGTTTTTCTCCGGTACTGGGAACCGAACTCACAACCTTGCGCTTGGCAGGCAGGCGCTTTGCCGCTGAGCTAAATCCCCAGCCCCCATGGGGTTTTTTTCTTAAACCAACTGGTGGGTAACTGAAACCCTCAGAACTGTACACTTTGATGATGTTGTTTTTGGGGGGTTTTTTCGTTTTTTTCCTGGTACTGGGAATCGAACTCACAACCTTGCACTTGCCAGGCAGGCGCTGTGCCGCTGAGCTAAATCCCCAGCCCCAGAACTGTACACTTTGAAAAACGGGTAAAAATGTATACTATGAAAATCTTCTCTCAACTGAGCTGCTCGAAACAAAACCTAGAAGAGCCACAGTCACCCTCTAGCCCTGTGACACGAGGCCCACGGCTGCCTCTCCCGCAGCTCCATACCATCTTGCTTTCATCCCCAGTAGTATAGCTTGTGTT